AAGAACTGCGGCAGCCGCGTTGCGAGTCGGTTATTGCGTCAGAGACCGGGATCATCCGGTATATGGGCATGCCGAATTGCCCAGCCCAAGAGATGCGCGACCAGGCTATGATCACGAAGTCAGCATCGGAAACCGGCCTCTTTGGTGTTTCCGAGGGCGAAGAGAAATCTCACGATCGGGAGTGGGCGGAAATCAAGACAATTTTTGGCTACGACGCCGAGGACGAGGCCGATAATTGGTGGGTGACCTGGGGGCTACTAAAGCAGATATCTCTAGAGAGCCAGCGGGCGGCCGCAGAATAGTTCATTCCCGGCTCTGCTCGCGTTTCATCAATTACGCTGCTTGTATCGATATCCCTTGAAGTCTCATCGCTTTGCTCGCTATTTATTTACTGTAGCTACGGGTTCGATTTAACTCTACATTTGATAATTCATGTGTGTTTGACATTCTCGCTCTGCGACATGGGTGCCAAATTTCCTCCCTTGCAGTCTGCGGTACAACTTTCAACCAATTGTTCAACTTGAATTGACGCGAATTTTTCAATGACTGGCCAAAAATAGACAAGACAGAATAAGCTGGAGGCTATGTTCCCCAGCACGTTAGACCCGACGCCCACCTTGTTATACTGCGGTTAAGCAAATCTATTACTTAATCCACTTTGTTCAAGAAATTATCCTCAAGTTCCTGTTCCTTGAACAGCGGCAAATCTCAGGTCCTCGTATATACTTTGACTCATGGCAGTAAGACCAGTGCGAGTGACAGCTATTTGCGTCAATTTCAGTGACCTTTCGTCTCAGCTGGTGTCACGCTATGCTCAAATTTTCCGACATCAACGTTCACCTTTGCTGACCTCAAACCGTTGACACAATGCGCGATTCCTTCGGTCTTTGCGAACTCCGATGGACCAGGGGTCCAGGTTGTCGGACATGCGGGCGCCATCGCCTTGGGTGCTCTCCAGAAGGAAGGATATTTTCCTTTTTCGTCGTTTCTGGAGGATTTATGCGCACACTCTTCATATTCATTTCACGTTAGCTTCATGCCGTTCGTACCGTCCATCGCCGTCCGCAGGTATAAAGGCGACTGCGAACAGTGCGAAGCTCTCCAAAATACCGCAGCTCTACAATGGAAACCACTGCCATCCTCACTTTCTTCGCCCTCTTTGCCGCTTTGAGTTTCATGTATTTCAAGCGCTCTTCATCGGTATGTTTGGTTTTTTATTTTCGGCCCTCGGGTTTTACCCATTTTATTCACAGTTGCATTTTGTCCCACCAATGGGCCCGTCGGGTCCCCTCTCGTCCTATCGTGCTGCGCTAGACTACCTACGTGATGCGCCGAAAATTATACAAGCAGGATATAACCAAGTAAATCTCATTTGCGTTTTGTTGTATTCTTTCGTAATACAGTTCTCGCAGCACAAATCCATATTTCGCGTGCCCTACCTTGACAAATGGGTCGTCGTCCTCAGCTCACCGGAATTAATTGACGACATGCGCAAGGCGCGCGACGACGATCTCTCTGCTGCACATGGATTTGGCGCCGTATGTACCTTCCCCTCCAACTAGCGCTCGGTCAACTAAATTATAATTGAATATGCAGACTCTTGCGGTCGACTACACCCTCGGCTCCGGCTTCGTAACAAACCCGTACCATGTCCGCGTCATCCAGTCTTCCCTCACCCGAAATATTGGTGCTCGCTTTGAGGACATACACGACGAGATTGCTACTGCGTTCCAGGATGAGATTGGGTTGAATCTGGACTCTGACTCTGACTCTGACTTGAGCAGTAGGCCACCGGTTCTAATTGTCCTCCGCAATTTACTGACGTGAAGGAGTAGTAGAGTGGGTAGCGGTTCCCGCACTACGGACAGTTCTTCGCATTGTCTCCAGGACGAGTAATAGGCTGTTTGTCGGGGTCGAACTCTGTCAGTGGACTTACTTCTCTATCCCGATAAACAACTGATTCAGATGGGATGCAGGCCGTAACACTGAATACAGGGACCTCGTCGTTAATTTCGCTGAGGACGTGATCAACTGTGCGAGGGTGATCAACCTGTTCCCCAACGTGCTCAAGCCGTGAGTATATTCCCTAATTGTATATCAAAATGACTTACAGGATTCAGACTCGTGGGACCCATGGTCTCTCCCCTGTCGCGCAGCATGAAACGTGCAAAGAAGCATCTCGTGCCTCTCATTGAAGAGCGTCTCAAGGAAGAGACCGAATACGGAGCATATTGCGACGGGCGCCCGGTATGTGCATTCCATAGAATGAACACAGTTGGTTTCAGATTCTTCAGAACGACCTGATCTCGTGGCTCCTGGAACACGCTACAGGCGAAGAGCGCACGGTGGACAAGCTGATCCAGCGCATCCTAATGATCAACTTTGTGGCAATTCACACGACCGCCAATGTAGGTTTTCACTTGAGGTCATATTGCCGGTAATTATGTGTTCCCACAGAGTTTCACCCAAGCACTGTATCACCTCGCGGCCGCTCCGGAGTACGCTGCTCCCCTACGCGCCGAGCTTGAAGCCGTGCTCCTCGAAGACGGCTGGAGCAAGGCCGCGATGGGCAAATGCATCAAGTTAGACAGCTTCCTCCGAGAATCTCAGCGGTTCAACGGCGTCAGCGCGAGTTAGACCTTTCCTATTCACTTCATTCGCCCAACGAATATAATGTTTATTTTTGCAGTCAACATGAACCGCATGGTCACGAACCCGGCAGGCTTCACCTTTTCCAATGGCACGCACCTGCCGCAGGGAAGCTTCATTGCGGCTGCGACGTATGGGACGCATCACGATGACGCGTACTACGAGCACGCGGAAGTCTTCGATGGCTTTCGTTTCGCGCGCATGCGCGCCGACACCGACGGCGAAGGAGCCAAGTTCGGGATGGTCACCCCAGATGCGACGTTCCTCTCATTTGGGCTGGGGAAACATGCGTGTCCTGGTGTATGTCAAGGTTCTCCTTGGTTTTTTGTGTTTGCTCACCAAAACCTCCAGCGGTTCTTTGCGGTGACAGAGCTCAAAGTCATGCTCGCGCACATCATCCAGAATTATGATGTAAAACTCGAACAAGAGGGTGTTCGCCCACCGAGCGACTGGTTCGGAACGACTTGCGGGGCCAATCGATCGGCAAAGGTGCTTTTTCGGAGACGCCAACCAATCACGTGATGTAGTTGAATTCAGTGGATGAGCTTTCAAACCATCGAAGATCATTCAAACGGGAGTAAATTTGTGGAATCTAGATTGTGTGGCTGGAAAGTTTCCTTTGTGACTTGAACTACATGCGCAGATGTCTTTTACAAGAAATAATATGTATTTTCTCTAATAGATGCTAGTGTACATTCATTCCAGTCTGACTTTCTCACAGTATGGAGCTTTGGCGAGCAGTTAGGCTTAGATGCACAAACTCGATTATGGGGAATGATGAGACGGCTCTTGATGAACAGGTGAAGAATATAGTGTTAATGGTTGGCAGTCCATCTTTGAGTATCCTTCTATAATGTGTATGCTGCCCACCTCGAGCACAAACGTAACAGGGGTTTCTTTTTGACAGATCTGGCGCTATGACGTAGCGGTACGTTAGTAGCCTATATACTCAGTTTGAGCGTGATGCCAGTTTCTTACCGACTTCACACTGCAGTGAGGGTGCCGACAAGCCGATGTCCGGTTTGGTCCTGTCCTTTGTCTAAAAATCCGGACCCCGAACATGTTTATAGGTCTCCCAAACGAGGGTCTCATGCACCAGATGTATATTGCCTAATTTGGGAAACCCTCCGATACTGCACACGATATGTATGTTTGCTTTGAGACATGGACATCATTTGAATATTTGAAGTGGTACACAACTCTGACAGGAGTATCTGGTATCTTTCATTGCGAGGTAAACCACTGCAGCATTATCAATTTTCCTGGCCACAATACAACAACCTTTGGAACCTCCAAACCTGGTGCTTATCATAAGACTATTTGAATAATTTTTACAGCCGCCCTTTGTCTTCTCCTTTCTGTGGTCCCTTTTCCCATTTTCCCTGCCATTTGACCAAAAATCAAAGAAAAAGGAACTCAAAGAGGAGTAAAACGGCTGCTGTGAATGACTAAGCTCGCAAAGCTGAAAAATGAAGCAAGAAGGGAACAAAGACTGCATCATTGAATATTCATCTACGCAGAGCGCAAGCAATCAGATTATGTGCCTTCATAACTACAAGAACACTGATTCTATTGCAACAAAAGGGAGCAAAAAGGAAACAGAAAAAGATGATGAAAAACAGAACTGGGAACAAAGTACTTCCACATTATCTCCCACAAGCTATGTTCACCTCAAATTGGTGTGATGATGGAAAGTTTAATAGAGAGCTTGCGCAAAAGCCGCACAAGCTGCATGCAGCTTTCAGGCATTATGCAAAATTCCCTGGATGTGAAAGTGTTTTCCTTGGGTCCAGGTGAGTTAGATCGTCTCCTCTGTCCCTGAAAAAGTGTATTTTGTATGCACAGAAGTAAGTATCAGTGGAGTCCACAGCTGATGGATGCAGTTTTTCCAGTCATCACGGTAGCTCCACGCAAACTTCCCACACTTTTCGTGTCCTGCATGCAGCAATTAAGGTGCAGACAAGAGTTTTTTCCCCAGTGCACGTACTTGGGCCCACCTAACCTTCCACCAACTCAGGTTTTTTCAAACCTCAGCTCTGATTTCCGCACGCGGCTTTGCGCAACACCCAAAAGCTGTATGCAGCTCATGCGGCTCATGCGGCTTTTGCACAAGCTCTCTAATGCAAAAAACTACCTTCATCCCCAGTGCACGTACTTGGGCCCACCTAACCTTCCACCAACTCAGGTTTTTTCAAACCTCAGCTCTGATTTCCGCACGCAGCTTTGCGCAACACTCAAAAGCTGCATGCAGCTCATGTGGCTCATGCGGCTTTTGCGCAAGCTCTCTAATGTAAAAAACTACCTAGTCCTATTCCGTCCTACTTACCGCCCACATCTGCATCACTTATATGTCCGAATTGGTGTAGGGGTTAACATTGCCGCCTCTCAGAGCCACGTCATTCATGACAAAGGGCCACGCAATCTGAATTCGCGGCAGCCCGGGGTTCGATTCCCCGATTCGGAATCTTTTGCATCCACTTCCCGTTTTTTATTTTTTCATACTATTGAACAATGCCAGTACTCCAGCACTTCAGTGCTTCAACCTTAAAATTCTAAGGCAGGCAGGCACCTTACATAAAATTGCTGCATAGAGATGGTGAGTTCTGGATTCCAATTGCTTGCATTTCTTGTCAGTAATTCATCACCCAGATGTCATGAATCACCCAGATTCCAACTTTTCATGTGCGACATGCTGGTATGTATACAGACACGTCTAAATCACAGGACTCACACAACAACATCACAAGACAATCCCATAGTTGAAACCCATGGGTTTCAAGGATGAAGCCACAGAGGGTTAAGGACCCTGTATGGTTGGGCCCTTAACCCTAAAACATTATGACCAAAACACACAGGGACTAGGGAGTATCAGCATTAACAATCCTTAATGCTGTGGGCCAGGAACTGATCATAATCACATTTAATTTATCAAGAACTCGGTAGAATCTCCTACTGTACAAGAGATTCTACCTTGTCTAATCTCAGGCATCTGCTTTGGCTTGAAATTGGTGTGATCTCCACCCTGCATCACTTCCTCCATCATATATTCCAGGTTACAACCACACCCAGGTATTCTTCCTAAGTGGATATCATACCCTCTTCAACTCATTCCGGGTTCTGCCTTGCATTGTGATGTCATGAATCACCTGGGTTCTACTTTTTCTCAATGTGTCTGTAAGTGGATATCATACCCTCTTCAACTCATTCCGGGTTCTGCCTTGCATTGTGATGTCATGAATCACCTGGGTTCTACTTTTTCTCAATGTGTCTGTACATATACGGACATGTCTAACATCACGGGACTCACATGGCACCACAGGACCTTCTTATGGTTGAAACCCAAACACGGGTTTCAAGGACTTGGATATGGGGAGACATTAAGAGTTAGGGATCACAGTCAGTCCCCCTAACCCCCAGATGCTATGGTGATAACACACAAGGACTAGGAGCATCAGCATTAGCACTCCTTGATGTTTGGTACAGGACTGATCACGATTGTATTTCATTTATTCAGAACATATGAGGTAGCGGACACACAAATGCGGTTGCCCCACATGATGCAGTGTGACATGAGCATATTGGGAACATACTGTACCAAAAAGACCTTGATCAGTCCACAACAGGCAAACAACAGGTAAAATAGAAATTTGGGCTCAACAGTTCTCTGGAGATCAGTCCTTTATTGCTGTATGAGGTCTCATATCACGGAAATGTTGAAAATTGAGGGACTAGTTCCCAAATTAGGATGATGGATAACTGTATCACAACTCTGGCATGCGCGTTGCAAAGTTTCTTTGCTCAGTGCACCTTGAAAAATTTTCAATGGCATTCCTGTGGCCTGTAAAATCATAACTAGTCCTTGAATTTTTGTCCAAAATTCACAAAATAATTTGACAATGCTCCCAGTGTACATCTCCACAAAACTGTTGTGGCTGATTTTCCATAAGTTGCTCAAAGACAGTGCAAACGGTTGCTTTGATACAGTATGTTCCAAAAAAGGATATGTGACCGTAACAGCACGTGGGGCAACCGTGTTTGTGTGTCCACTACCTTATAAACTCAGTAGAATCTCCCCAACCCTCAGGCCCATATAGTACAAAGTCAGTGCAGATTTTGGGACAGGTGAAACTGAGTTGACTTGAAGGCCCCATAAGTAGTGTGCCTGCTCCTATTTTTTTGGGACGAAGAAATGATGGGGAGCTATAACCTCTGGTGTAAGTTTGGTGTAAGCACACTTTGGTTGGCAAGCATGCCATCAAGTCACGCCGAGCCTTTTGGTGTGTGATGATTGTGACTCTGTCAGTCCAGCGTACTGGACAATTAAATTCAATTCGTTGGTCACAGTCACGTCTCCCCCCCTGTCAAAGTCGAAATTTGAACCAAAGTCACGCATCACGGGGCTAGTGTCAAATTAGCGAACCAGTTCCAGAATAGCCTGCAAAATAGCTCTTGAGCAGTAGAGAATTATTTTTGTTCCTCCATAGCTCAAAAAAACCCTAAAAACGCTGAGTGAGGGTGTTCTCCGACACTTTCTGACACAAATTGAACAAGTTTTGGTTCAACTTTAGTGATTTGGCCTGCCAATAACAATATCCTTCAAGTTCTAGAAAAGTGCCTGCCTTCCCCTCAGCAGATGCTCTAAAGAAGGAAAATAGATAGCACAAAACATCCTCTAAAAGTTTTGTCACTGATCAGAACCAGCCATCTGGGCAAGTGTCAAATTTTTTTCGGGTGTCGCCGCGAAGGTGTCCAAGTGTTTTTTTGGTCACAGGTCACACCCCCTGTCGAATTGAATTGTACACCTTTTATTTTCATCAAAATCTGCCTCGAGCTCATCTCAACATTTCAACATCATTAACCCCATCCGGAATTACCGCTGCTCTGTCTGAGCGCGCCCTATAATGTCTGGAAATGAGACTAACCTGTCCGCACCTCCAGGCTCCAAATGCATGTTTCCTGCTTCTGAAAACTGTCGGTCAGTTGCGCAAGTTCAAGCCTAAAGGGGACTCTTAGTCACACGTCCTGACTCTTCTTCACTCAAACTGCCATCGGCTCCGATGAGTGTCACGTCGCCAGCCTATAAAGCTGCGCCAGCCTCAGTATCAGACTCATTCCATCTCCTTTCTTAACCACCATGCCTAGTTCCTTGAAACTCTCTGCTCGTGAAAATCGTGAGTAAATTCATGCCTTCCGACATCCTCAAGCTGAATATCGTGTGTAGCTATTAAGGCTGTTACGGTTTACAAATCCAGTAAAGCAGAGGTTGTTCGTATCTTCTCGCTCGATTTGAAGGTAGCTTGTTTCATATCCTTGTTGTACCACCTTGTATTCAACTCGAAACTTGAATCGAGTCCGGGAATACCAAAATCGAGATAACTGAGTTGCCGAGTTGCATTGACACTCAATCTGTTCGAGTCTCTGGGCTCGGCGATGCGAGGTTATTCGATGTGGTTTGCACCACTCGTGACGGAGCAGGACCCAACAAATCTTCTGAGGCCATCCGCCTGCTGAAAGCGCAGAAGCTGTCGCTGGAGGGTGAAAAGCGAGTCAGAGACCATGAGTCCGACCTTCTCGTCACCTACGCCAAAACGCTCAAGGGCGAGCATATGCCGCCGACTCAGATGGGCGAATTTCTTCAGAGCTTCGTTGAGCAGGGACGGAAGAATCTCCAGGCCATCGCGGAACTGGACGAGAAGATTGTCGTCGTCGATCGCCAAATTGAAGCTGAGCTGAAGAAGGAGACCACCAAGAAGGGCGCGTTTGGAGGAGAGGTCACCATCGTTCTCGGGACTGATTCCGAGGCGCATGTCGATATCAAGCTTACCTATAGTACGTATCTCTGCACTCTCATCGTTCAACGCTCACTCTTTGTTGCAGTTGTCAGCAACGCGTCCTGGGAGAGCACCTACGAGCTTCATGCTGCGACCGACAACAGCAAACCCTCCTCGTCGGTTTCCCTCCATTACCGTGCCCGTATCATGCAAAGCACCGGCGAAGACTGGACCGACACTGCTCTGACTCTGAGCACTGTTGCTGCATCCACAGTCGCGAAGAGTATTCCCTGGCTCTATGGTGTCAAGATCAAGCCCCAGAGCCATAACTCCCGACAAGGTGGACTATTTGGCAAAATGCACGCTGGGAACAACAATAACAACGGGACGGTCTTTGGCCAGCCGGCCTTTGGACAACAGGCCTTTGGCCAGCCGGCCTTCGGGCAGCGCCAGGCCATGCAACCGCAACAGAATGTTTTTGGCCAACCCCAACAACAGCCGCAGACCTCGCTTTTTGGCCAACCCCAACAGCAACAGCCCTCGACTTTTGGTGGTGGCCCCGCTTTTTCTTTTGGTGGTGGTGCTCAACCCCAACAGCAGTCGTCATCGATTTTGGGGCAACCCCAGGCCCAACAGCAACAACAGCAGCAGTCGTCGCTTTTCGGTTCCTCCCAACCACCCCTGCTCCCGGTACAAGACCAAGCTACCGACGGCCTGGACTTGGAGGCCGAGGACTTCGAGGACATTGACATTCCCAATGCCATGGCCGGGCCCACGACCATTGTCACCGAGACCCCGCTCGCCATCTCCTACGCAGTCGAGGGAGCGACGACTGTCCCCAGCGATGGCACCGTGCACCAGGTATCCGTCGCAGTGCTGCCCTTCGAGGCCAAGATATCCCATATCTGCAGCCCGCGTGTCGACCCGCGCGTTTATCTGCAGTGTCATGTCAAGAACACGAGCGAGTACCGCCTGCTCCCTGGCCCCGTCAGTGTCGTGCTCAACGACGGCTTCGTGTCGAAGACCTCTATCAACGTGCGCCGTCTATCTTATTTACCTGCCCCCCGCGTTAACACTCTGCTTCCCCAGGAAATCAACACTGGTGACACCTTTACCTGCACGCTCGGCAGCGACGTCGCGACCAAAGTCACGTACGCACGCAGCTCCAAGACCGTCACGTCGCAGGGCGGCTCCTTCCAGGAGGTGTTCAACGTAACAACATTTTCCACCAAGATTACCATCCACAACAAGCACCCCTTCCCGCTCACGGACCTGGTCGTGCGCGACATCATCCCGACGTGCGACGACAAGCGCGCGAAGGTGCTTTTGCACAAGCCGGAGGGGCTGGCGGATGCGAAGGACGGCCAGATCGTCAAGCTCACGCCGCCTGGCCTAAAAGTGATGTGGGGCAAGACGTGGGATGGACGCGCAGGCGAGAAGGATGGGCGTTTCGAGTGGGCATGGAGCCTCGAGGGCGGCGCCAAGGCTGTGCTTGAGGCGGAATGGGAGCTCAAGGCCCCTGCAGACGTTTCCTGGGTCGAGTCGGTTGGCATGTAACGGTCTCGCATTTCATATAATTAATTAACTTCTGTCCGCCGCATTCCTATGTACTTTGCCAGTCTATCACACAATACCATCGCTTCGAATTGCACATTGACCGAAATTCTAGACGATTGAGAAACTAAGAATGTGA